TAGTAGCGTCCTTGCTCCTAGTAGCGATGCCAGGAGCCCCTAGTAGCATGCAGAACTTTGGAACGCCAAGTCAAGGTTCCGCTGGAACAAAAAGATGTCAGGGCCACACATCACCCCACCGGCTTCAGACCTTGCTCTGGGCCACGATAACATAAACTAGGCGAAGTAGCAACACCCAGACAATGAATGTGTATGAATGAGTACGAGAGCCTCAACAGCTTTGCGAGTACCTTGGTTAGGTGTTCTTCCCAGTACTTCTGTGGCTACATGTCGCTACGATTTTGTGGACCAGTTGGCGGGATGCAATATCAATATCGACATCTGTGTTTTTTTCCTGTTGCAATTACAAGTTGCTTTTTGCGGGAGCGGCGGATTCATCCCTTCAAAAGCCTTCATTGCTGCGCCACAGTTCGGCTCAGGCAAAGGTGGGCAACCACTAAAACCCTATTGGTGGAGTCTGTACAAAAGCTCCTTAGAAGCTTTTTGGCAAATTCAAACCGCGTCTGGAAAACATTCTCAATGTTAGTGACGTGGCGAAGAAAACCTGTGTTGTCATCTAAAGAGACAAACATGGAGAATCCAACCATGACATCCAGACCTTGGAAGCTTGCTCTTTGAGCTCAAGCTTTGTCAATGCCTGAACGCTCCCGTGGCATGTGCTGGAATTGTTCGTGAATAGCAGCCTGGGCGACTGCAAACTCAGCTACACCACGTAACGTCACAAGAACCAATGTGTACAAACAACCTGTGCAACATAAATGGTCAACACTGCATTAGGAAAGAAATAGTAAGAGCAAAGAAACACCCACAGGGGCGACTTGGCATGCCTACACAACAGAATGCGACAGAGTAGTGCTCCATGGCTGGAAATGTTTCAGTGAAACAAACCTGTTGCTATATTGGGTCTCTGAAACACCGTTGTTCCTCAAAGGTGTTTGCCAGCCGTTGTTCATCGACTCCCGTTAGAGAACCAAGACACTGCCACTGCAATGGGCACTGCAGGCTGCTTTGGGATCTTTGGGGCATACTTTGCCAAGACCTCAGTGAGCTCACCAACGCTCCACGCCCAAAACTTGGAGAAGAACAGAAGAGGCGTGCAACACCTTCAGCTCCAGAAGAATCTGAAGCCTCAGCTCCTTATCTTTTTTGAGTTCTAAATCCTCGCCTTCTGAAGCTTCTCCAGCTTTTTGTCAGACTCCCGCCGCCTTGATGCAAAGAAACTGCCCTATAGAAACGCTCCACTTGCTACCAGTTTATCAAGAAATATGTAGCGTATCTTTCAATGGGCTCCACCACCTGTCCACAACTTGCTCAAGAGCTCGGCGTGCCTCCACACAGAACACAGAAAAGGGGATGTAGAAGTATTTGAGATTGTCGGTGCCAATGTCTTCCCGGTCTTTTACTGAAATCCATTCTGGTGGCAGACCTTCGCAAGTTCATTCCGCTGCTGAGTCATAATCCGGAGTGCTTCGGCAGCTGCGCCTGGAATTGCACAAATAACGTTGGCAACCTACTAGCAACAGGTGCATCACTACTAGTAACTTGGGCATCGCTACTAGTATAAAGGGCATTACTACTAGTAGCTAGAAGCTACTAGTAGCAGGGATTGGGACACTGAATGAAGCCACGCCTACTCAAGGCACAAACAATGCCACAAGCCTTCGCGTTTCTTGCGCTCCGCAGCAGCCTGGGCTCAAGTCATGGATTGTTTGAAAAGAATCCCACAGCACTTCGACTAGAACTACTACTAGATAACTGGACTTGCTTGGACTGCAGCTCAGTGGCAGCAGCTGTTACCCTTGTTACTACCAGACCAACCTCTGCCCGCCTCATGACGCACCTTTTTTGACAACAACAAACAAAAGCACTTGTACTATGCTTCGCTTTTCTTGGACAATTAAGCCTAGCCTAAATCAACCAAACTGAAAAACTATGCCAGGCATGACATGACGCAAATCGGTTATGCACTTGGATTCTTCGCTCCCTGCGGTCCCTGCGTTATAAATGTAGAGCGGACTCTGACACACACGTTGCAGCTGGCTTGCAACCCCTAATAGGCTCGGTACTTTAGCTCTGTGCCGCCGTGGTTGGATCTGACTGTCCTGTGGTTGAGATTTCTGAAATGCAATCGTAGAACATTATTATATAACCGTCTTTTATTCTGTGATTCTGCAAATGGGTCAGGTGTATCCATCCTCTGTATGGCAAAGAAAAAAGAAATCAAAGAAAAAGGCACAACAAATGCCAACAACTTGAGTCAAACATGAAGCTTAGAGAGATTATAGGTGTTGAATCTCATCAATGTCTTCTGCCAGTAGAATCCAAAGGCCATGTGATCCGCTCCCTGTCACCACATTCCAGCCTCTAAGATGGAAGTGTCCAGTTTCATTGAGGGCCTGTAAAGCAATGCTTCGGCTCTTGGATTAGTGGTGCTCCAGCACTCATACACACAAATACTGTGCCAGGAAGCCCGAGAGGATTGCCCCACCACACTGGAAGATTGCTCAGTTAGTCTCTTAGCTGCTCTGTGTTTCGAACCTTTCCTAGCACCTTGTGAGGGTTTCTACAATGAACAAACTGCTCTTAAGACCAAACCCACCCACATCACCCACTAGTTGTGGCCCTGGTTGTCGCATGTACTGGAGCCCTGTTGGAATGGCCAAACTGCCAGATTCATCCCCATTACAAACCACCATCATACGCTCTTGACGTTGTTGATGGCCCTGCATAACCTCTTTGGTTGATCCAGGGCATGTCTGAATTCAATGGTGCGTGCAAACCCTGCAAATGGCAGGTGATGAAAGGCAGTTGGCTCGTGAAGGTGCAGTTTGTGAGCAAGAATTAAAACGCCTTGAAACCAAAGAATATGATGCGTGGGTTATCTCACCAAACAATTGGCTAAGTCGACTGGATTAGTCTGTCAAGTATTGAATGCGATATATAATTCTTGGCAGCTAAGACTAAGACTGCAAAAAATCATCCCGGTAACACAAGAGACCCCAAAGACTGAATAGACTTTGCACAACACTCCAAAGCACACAAGTGAGCGCACAGGGATGAGAAAACACAAAGAGCACGCATATGAATGCATGCATAAAGTAGCACTTATGTGAGGGCACACAGGCGAAAGGACACATATGAGAACACACATATGAGAGCACACACATGAAAGCACACATATGACACCACACATGTGAGCACACATATTTGAACCAAAATTTGGGAGCACGCGTACGACACATGAGAGCAAACATATGACAGAAC